TGAGGGCAATGAATGTACAAATGTGCTTTACACAATTGATGTATTGTGGATTGTGATAAGAGTTGTATGAGCCCCTAATAAAATGATTTTTTTTAAATGGAAAAAAAATTTTTTTAAGTTTTTTGCTAAGCACAGTAGCAGCTTTAGGCTCACCTAGTTCGGACAGGGTGCATAGGATAGGAGCTTTAAAACTTGGTGAAAAGGGGAATTAAAGGATAATATAATTTTTCCTTTAAACTTTTGAAGGCCCCTAGTATATGTGATACATGTCCATTGTCATTGCAATATTGGCATGCATAAAATTTCTCCTCTCTTTCAAAAGAACTGGGTTTTATAAAGGTTTCACAAATTTTAGAACCACTGGCGCCTTAGTGGTTAGGCGTTGCCTGCTAACCGCGAGGTCAGCAGGGGAAACCACCAGGTGCTCCGCGGGAGAAAGATGAGGCTTTCTCTTCTCAGGCTGAGTCAGTCTTGGAAACCCACAGAACTGTCCGATATGGTCCCCCGGAGTCCATAGGGCAGTGAGAAGCTCACGCTATACTACGTAATAACTGTTTAGGTCTGTAATTTAGGCACACAGAAACTGATGTCAGTGAGGTCCAAATGTCCAAATCTAAGCTGTGTGCATTTATCTAACTAGTACTTGTTGAATTATCATTATCTACCCTTTACCACTGTTGCACCTCTTCTAAAGACACTGCTTGGCAACAGAGTAGACCCCCAAAAATCTCACCTGAAATTAAATAAATAAATGAATTTCACCTGCTCTTTCCTGTGTCGTCCCCCCCCACAAGACTACCTCTGGTGTTACTCAAATGACGGCAATCGTCACTGGTTCCTGCCCTCGCCAGCAGGCTGGGAGCCCAGGGTCCCCTGGAACATACAGCGGGCGGCGTCTGAGTCTGCACCCCAGTCTCCGGGGCCTGCTGAGGGGCCTGCCCGCGCTCCCCGGCAGTCAGCCCGGGGGCCACTGGAGGGCGCCAGTGCCCGCGCCACCCGGACCGTCTGCCCGCACGCCGGCCGCCCCGGCGCCTTCTCCTCGGCACCCGGCGGCTGTTTGTCACGGGATTGGAGGGGCTGCCCCTCGTTCCCACCGGAGTCACATGCCATCAGCGGAGCGTCCACACGGCAGCGGGCTCACAGCTCGCCCGGCGGCTCCGGCAGCCCCTTCTGGAAGCTCCGCGCGAGGGCGGGACTGCCGAACATCAGCCGTCTGAAAGGTTCCCCCGAACCTCCGCCCCGCCCCGCCCCTTCCCGCCCACTCCCCTCCCCCGCCGCTTCCAGCAGCTTCCCTGCCGCGGGGCTTCGCAGGCTGCCCCGCGCACCGGAAACGCCGGGGGAGCTGGTTAAGAGGCGAGTTCTAGTTCCGTAAGGAAAGAAGTGGGCTCGCTCTGGGCGGCGAACCGTAAGGTGGAGAGATCGAAACTACCCGCCTGTTCCGGGCGAACGCGGAGGCGATCTGTCCCGTGAAGATTACAACCTGGGACACCCTCGGGGGCAGCCCTGCGCTCCCTGTAGCCTGAATTGATTGATGACAGCGAGAGCGGAGTGACGTCGGCCCTGGCGTCCAGGACGCCTGGGGCGCCCCCTGGTGGCACACAAGCGAAGTCACTCCACGCCTAACCACAAGCTCAGCGGTTTGATACCCACCGGCGGTTCCAGGGGAGAAAAGATGTGGGCAGTCAGATCCTGTAAAGATTATAGCTTCACAAACATTACACAACTGGGCAATTCTACTATGCCCAGTAGGGTTATGTTGCAATCAATTCAATGACAATGGCTTTGATCTTTGGGCCTGAGACCCTGCATTGAATAGTTCCAGGTTAGAATGGCAACAAGGTCAGTGCATATGCCACCAAGTGGGTGGGTTCTAAAATTGGAAATTCAGTGTTTCACCGTTCTAGAGGCTGGGCGCCCAAATCAACATATCAGTAGGGCCGCGCCCCCTCCTCAAATCTTCTCTGGTCTCTTTCAGCTTCCGGAGTCTCGGCATTCCCAGATGTGTAGGTGCAGCTTCATAAAACTGTCCTTCTGGTTAAAATTTAGTACCCTATCATTTGATCTCCCTTATGATCCATTTGAAATTTGTTCCAGTTCTTAATATTTCCTGATTTCTTTCCAATTGGGGTTTTTTAGTGTTTTACTTTGTTATTGTTTCTGGTTAGTTTTAAAAATGTTTTTGTTTATGAAACCCAGGATCGGTAAATCTGCAGACATTAACTGGATAAACGGTTCCTTTGAGCATAGCAAGGGGAGTTGGGGGGAAATGGATCGCTAATAACTCTTAGTACAAGATTGAAATAAATGTCCTAGAACTGATTGTGGTGATGATTGCACCACTTTTCTTGGGGTGACTGAAATATTGAATTGTATGACACGTGTATTATGTGCCAATAAAAAGGTTGGGGGGAAACGTCCCCTGTCTCTGTGTCTCCCTTGTTCTGTGTCTCTTCTCCCCCTTTATCATGACACCCCTCAACATGGATGAGGGTCCACCTTTCACCAGTCGAAGACCCTGTTTCCAAACAAGGCCATGTTCACAGGTACCTGGGCTTAGGACCTCAACATAGCTTTTTGGAAGACACCACTCAATTCCTAGCACTCAGAAATCAATATAAGGTAAATAATGTTCTAATATAATATTTTTAATAGTCAAAACTATGACAAAATCCATGATAAGCAAAATAGGTAAACTTTTAAATGTAGGATTAAATACACCAAATGCTACCAATCAAATCACATTTGCAGCACTGAGGTCTCATCAAAAGCTTTAAGTTTACTTATTTCACCAATTATCATGAATTATTCATTCAATGTGGCATAATTTTTCCAGAGAAAATTATACTCTACAACAGCGGTTCTCAACTGAGGAGGGGGCCAATTTTATCCACTGGGAGATAGTTAACGATGCCTGGAGATAGCACTTGGTTGTTACGGAGGGGAGCGGGATGCTGGCTTCTGTTAAGTAGATACCAGGAATGCTGTTGGACATCCCGTAATGCACAAGATTACTTTGTCAACAAAGAACTATCTGGCACAAAGTGTCAGTCATGCCAATGTTGAGAAACTCTGCTATGAGAATAGTTTACTACAGATATGTTATGCCATAGACAGTAAATGTCATAAGTGGGGTTTGAACTTATGTTTTTCTAATTCAAAAATTTTCCCCATTCACTATCTTCCCTCGCTATAAAGATTTTCTACTTCCAACTTTAGGCATTGCCTTAGTCACAGTCTATAAAGACTACTTCTTTATGCATAGAGGAGCAGGGTAAGAAAGTTAATATTCAGCAAGTCCTGAGGAAAGGCGCTGGATGATAAAACAGGAGGAATTGTTAGATGCTACTAATTTAAAGTCAATTGAAGGCTGTCAGCACACTGCGATTCTGTGGAAATGAGAGTTCAAGGCTGTGCAGGAAAAGTCAAGCCTAACCATGTTCTCCGGTCTGAAATTCAGCTAGCTTCACTTGCCTTTCCACCTTATCGCATTCGAAGGTGGCAGACTCGCATCTAGGATTTGAAGGTGATAGACTCTCATCTTGTCCTTTTACATTTTTCATATCTGTCAGTTGAATCATAATTCCAAATGCAAAGAAAGAAAAGCTTAGGAGCGCCATTCAAATTCATGGAATGACTGGAATAGCAATATACGATTTCTATCTCACAATCCTATTCTAGGAGTATTGCAAATGGCTGGATCCATCCTTACTCTATACACCTTGCAAGCTCAAAACTCCAAGGCGGGCTCCCTCCAGAGACAGACGTACTAAAATTGGAACAATACAGAGAAGATGAGCATGGCCCTGTGCAAAGATGACACGCAAGTTCGAGAGGCGTTCCATAGTTTGGTCCTATTTCCAGTCTTCTCCCTGGTGGCATGGTGGCTATCCGTGCCTGAGCTCCCAAGGTCGACAGTTCAAAATCACCAGCGTCTCCGTGAGAGACCGACAGGCTGTCTGCTGCCCTGCCGAGTTACAATCCCGGAAACTCACAGGAGCAGTCACATGAGTTGGCAACGACCCCCCTCTCCCCACCAGCCAGGGGAAAATGGAGGCAACTGTTTCTTTCACAATTCTCCAAAGCCTAATTATAAATTGATTTTCTTTTAATCTTAGGGGAAAAGTAAATTTTACAGGATAAAAACTTTAAACAAGAATCTACTAAATAGGTTATGTATATTGGAGCACTGGGTAGATCAGCTACCCAAGACCTCTTCAAAGTGTGGACAGAACAAGGATGTCACTAAGGACTAAGGGGCGCCTGACACAAGCCATGGCATTTTCCACTCCTCATGTTCACATCAAAGTTGACCATTGAAGAAGGAAGACTGAAGCAGAATCAATGCATTTGGATGATGGTGCTGGCAAAGAATATTGAAAATACTACGAACTGCAAAAAGAACCAACAAATGTCTCTTGGCAGAAGGACAGCTAGAGGGTTCCTTAGGCGTGAGCATGCTGAGATTTCATTTCCCACACTTTGGACACGTGATCAGTAGAGGCTGCTCCCTGGAAAAGAACATCGTGCTTGGCGAAGAGGAAGCCCTTTCAGGTGATGGACTGACATAGTGGCTGTAGCAATGGACTCAAACATATGAACGATTCTGAGGATGGAGCAGGACTGGGCCATGTTTTGTTCTGTTGTCCGGAGGGTCCTTCTGAGTCTGAAGCAATTGGACAGCAGTCCTGGTTAATGAAGGAGCCCTGGGGTGGGGGGGTGGGTGCGTGGAGTAGTGGATTTCTATTGGGTTCCTAACGGCAAAGTCTAGCAGCTGAAATTACACTGCCACTCCAAGTGAGAAAAAGGAAACTGCTCGGGTAACGATGTACAGCTTCAGAAACCACACTGTCTTACAGGGTGGGCAGGAGTCAGAATCCAGCAATACCAAGAGAACCAACCCACTGTTCCCCAGTTGATTCTGACTAGACCCTGCAGGACAGACTTGGACTGCCACTGTGAGGCTCAGAGACTATCCATCTTCAATGGGGCAGAGACTGGCGGCTTCTACCCGTTGGCCTTGCCATTGGGAGTCCAACATGGAACCCGGTAAGCCACCAGGGCTCCCTAACAGAGTCAACGGCAGTCAATTTGGGATTGGGGGACAGGACAGGTTAAAGATTTTATTTGCATCATATCTTTCAGCTCCAAAGTTACCCTTGTGTGATCTGCTCTGTGATGCTGTGGCTGAGATACGAAAAGTACATGTCCCCAGTGCCCTTGGGCCATCCACCTTCTGTTAGGTATCTCAGGAGGCCGAAAAGCAGGAGGAGGAAGAAGGTATTTTGACCTCGTTTTCCAGTTTCTGGACAGCTACTGTTCTGGCCTCTGGTTTCCAAAGGCACTCCCAACACCAAACATTCTGTAAGCCCCCAGGGGACCAACACCGGTGACGTGGATACCTCCTCTGCTCTTAGCTTCTGTCTGATGGCCTCTTAGCTCCCGGCATCTTCTCCCAGACCTGGGAGGGGTGGCTGATCTTTGGGTCACTGCAGCAGTCCCGCAGTCTTTGAACTCTTCTGTAATTCTTCATGAAATCCCTCCAGCTTGAAATACCTATCTCTACTTTTCTTTTATTTTGATGAGAACCCAACTGATAAAGATTTTTATTCTCACTTAATTGAATACATATTTCCCATAATTTTCCATGGAGCAATGTGTTCTGATAATACTGACAAGTTAGAGATGGCACGATGTTTGTCTACCCCAACAAAATGCATACAAGTGTGTTGGTTACTAATCATTGAAATGAACTCCAACTCATGGTGAGACATGTGGGGTTCCTTGTGCTGATTGCTCCCTTTCTAACACTGTCAAACACCAGTGACCCTCCTAGAAACGACATGTAGAACAGCACATGCATGCCTGGCACAGAAAAGGTGACAGTGAAGGGGGTATATATCCTCGTCATTCATGCTCTCTCACCACTGAAAATTGAAGCTTTCGGCAGATCAGAATTATATTGGGGCGGGGGGTGGGGGTGGGAATCAAACTGGCCAAACAAAGCAACGTCTGGAATATATTTCAATAATGTATCTCAACCAGATGTTAACTAGAGTTTTCTCCTTTTTAAAGAGCAATGAAGCCTGTCCAAGAGAAACACTTTAATCATCCCACGCTCCCTGTGGGACTATGGGAAATTGCTGCTTGCAAACACTGCAGGCTTAATTGATCGTGTGTGTTGAGTGCGTATGTGTGACTGTGTATAACTTACTTTATGGTATTCTATTCCTGACTTGCCTGCTCATTTTTAACAAATTCCTCTCTATTTTTCTCTACATCCTGGATGTTCTTAAGTCTTAATGGAATTTGAATATTTTGGCAGCCTGGCTTCTGTTGCGTAAATTTTCCCAATCCCTGAAACACAGAGCCCTAGGAATGTTGTAATTTTCTTATTATTCTGACAATGGTTTTATTCTATACAAGTGCTGCACTTAGTAATTTTATACCAATTTCAGTGATGTTTGGTAGGTAGGTAGAAGATACATGATTGCCTGTATCTTTCTAAAGTCACTTAAATCTAAGAAAACACAGTGCTTTGTTGTTTATAATATTCATGTTAGGGAAAAATATTCTTTTGCCTTCATGCATGAGACAATAATGAGTGAGGTCTACAATTTATACAATGAGTGAGGTCTACATTTTATATGGTCACTTGCTGCTGTTTCCAGTGGTCCAGCACTATGGACAAGTTGGTGAATGTAGAACTACATTCTAGAAGCTTTTAGGGGCTAGATATAAAGGGATATAAGATATGAACCCTGCTCCCTTAATCAATACTTTCTTGCAGGACATGATGGAGTACACATGTGTATCCTCATATCAGTGTGATACACTTTGTAAATACATGCACCTGTTGAGGGCTCTTTGTGCTGCACCGAGAACTGCTTTAATGATTGATGATTCATTAAGGTCAGGCCATGTGGAAGTTAGGGGGAAAATATAGTGGGACCTGTGCTATTACCTTAGCCTAAATGCCTCCCATGAAAACAAAGCTGAGAGAACTAGAGGAATGTTGTGTGTTTTATCATGCTACCCTGCACCCTGGATGAATCGTCCCTTCCTTCAACCCTTCTGTGAGGGGATGTCCAATTGTCTACAGATGGGCTTTGGGTCACCACTCCAACCCCTCTTGCTCACATCAATATGATTGTTTGGGGTCTTTGGATACCGGGTACCTGATCCTGTAGATACCTCTGATCACGCAGGCTGGTGTGCTTCTTCCATGTGGACTTTGTTGCTTCCTTACTAGATTGGTTTTCAATGGCTGATTTTCAAAATAGGTTGTCAGGCCTTTCTTCTTAGCCTTGAAGTTTTTTTGAAACTTGTTCCACACCATACCAGTAAACAAACCTCCAGTGACAGATGGGGAGTGGGGGCAGGGTAGCTGTGTTTGAAATGCATTGCTGGGAATCAAACCTGCATCTTCAGTATGTTGCTATTGTTAGGTGCCATTGAGTCGGCCCTGACCGATAGCAACCCTATGCACAACAGAACAAAACACAGGATGGTCCTACGTCATCCTCATAATTGTTCCAGCGTCTGAGCCCATGGTTGCAGCCACTGTGTCCATCCATCTTGCCAAGGACCTTCCACTTTTTCGCTGTCCCTCTACTTAGCCAAGCATGATGTCCTTCTCCAGGGACTGGTCTCTCCTGACAATATATCCAAAGTATGTAAGATAAAGTCTCACCATTCTTGCCTCTAAGGACAACTCTGGTAGTAAATCTTCCAATATTGATGGGTTTGTCATTTTATCAGTCCACAGTATTTACAATATTCTTCTCTAGCATGACAATTCAAATATGTCTGTTTTTCTATGGTCTTCCTTATTCAGTGTCCAACTTTCACATGCATATGATGCAATGGAGAATACTATGGTGTGTTAGTCTGGGTTGACTAGAGAAATCCAGAGAAACTCATATATAAGAAAGAGCTTTATATAAAAGAGCAATTATATATTGAGAAAACAGCCCAGTCCAGTCCAGATCAAATCCATAAGTCCAATATTAGCCCATATGTCTGACACCTGTCTATAAATTCCTCTTCAGACACATGTAACACATGCAATGATGCCAAGTGCAGGAAGATCACAGGCCAGTGGGTGGAAAGTCTTTTGGATCCAGTGGCAGTAGAAGCATCTCAGCACTGGCAGGGGTGTCCACATGGCTACTCCAGCTCCAGGACTCTGGCTCCAACAGCATAACTCCACGTGGCTTGTCAACAGGAATGTGTTGCAGGGAAAGCGTGTGTCCTCCTTCAGGGAGGAAGACAGAAGTTCCAGAATCCTCAGGAGAAGGCCATGCCCACCCAGAGGCACCACTGGCTATGACCTGATTGACAAGCTAGACTCCACCCCTTTGCTCAAGTTGAGATCATGTAACTGCCACACATGGCTTGGGTCAAGCAGAACTTAGTCCTCAAAATAGCATCCTTGTTCTTCAACATCCCAAAGACTTCTTATGCAGCAGATTCGCCTAATGCAACTCATCTTTTGATCTCTTTACTGCTGCTTCCATGAGTATTGTTTGTGGATCCAAGCAAGTCAAAATTATTTACAACTTCTCCCTTTTCTCCATTTATCATGATGTTACCTATTGGTCCAGTTGTGCAGATTCTTTTCTTCTTCACATTGAGTTATATTCCATACTGTGGTCGTTATATAAAGTGGTGTCAACTTGAGGCTATTAAGAGTGAAGGAGTGGAGTTTAGCCTGTCAACCAGGTCGCAGCTTGATGACCTCATTTGGAGGCACTACAGAGATAAATAGCTCACTGGAGGCCAGATACTCTCTCTGCTTGTCTCCCTGCAAGACATTCCTGATGACAAGCCACAAGAAGCTATGCTCATA